CTCGCAACCTGTGGGGTTGTTCCCGTGAGGGAGAGCAGCAGCAATGATGCCACAGCGACAGGACTGGCGACAGATGGTTGGCCCAGATGCACGCCACAAACAACAGACGCAGACGGATCAAGGCCAACTGCTTCGCCGGTTTGCCTTGATAATTTCATTGGACGTGGAGGGCTCGCACTCGTAGTGCCACTGGATCGTGACTGGTTCGGATTCGACATGAGTGTTGGTCGCCATGCATGATGCCGATGGGCTCTCCCACTCAGGGCAACAGCAAACGGGCTACACAACTCGGATGAAACCCCCCGCGTTTACCACATCAACAATCCAGCATCTGTTCTATTATCTTATACAATTCATAAGCCATCTGATCAGACTGACCTCAACACCTTATCCGTCAGTATGCCGTCCGCCAAGAAGCCATACAAACCCAAGAAACGCCGAGCGGACTTTGGGACCGCCATGTTCCCAAACCTTCACAAGGACGTCGAAAATGCGCTTTCCGAAGAGTCCATTTCCCCTCCTTGGTCGTTCAACCACGCTGGAGGCGACGCCGAAGCGATTCAGACCTACGGGACCAACATCATGGGCCGGTTCGAATGCCGCAACAACGAGTGCCAGAGTGGTGGCTGGGGCAGCAAGAAGATTGCCATCGAAATCCGGCGTTACCGGGACAATGGGTACAATGCACTGGTGTTCAAGCAGCGCTGCAAGACCTGCAAGCGGCTGGGCGTGATGCGGATCGACGAGAACTCCTATGTTGAGAGAGTGACGTACCGGCTGAAGAAATGGTCCGGCATCGAGATGGACCTACCTGAATACAATGGAGATAGACAAGGACTGCCGCATGAATCCCATCTTTGCGAGGGCTGCAGGAGGGGGCGGTGTCCGATGAGTGCGTCTGGGGTCAGATATGCGTACCTCTGAAGGGGGCTGTGATTCCGGACGACGGGTTGCTCAAGTTTAGCGAGGAGAAGTTGATGGAAGATAGCAAAACACACGACGCTTACACTGAACTTGAATCTAACATGTATGCTTCTGTGTTTGAGTTACATCCCCGCCATTAGCATCCCCCACACACCATTTCGCCTCCTGTTCCTCCAAGACACCCACAAGTTCCTCACATCGACAAATATCATTCGTACGCCGACACAAAAGTCCAGTGTTGGCACGAGCAGCTCCATCAAACCCGGCCTGCTGCCCCCCGCGGTCATCGAGTCATAAAAGGCGCGCGGGAGCTCCAACAGATGGACATAACCCGCAAGATACCGGAACCATTCGGGCATCCCGGGCCCCTCATCCGACATGAACAGGTCAGAGCACTGGCCAGCATGCAGCGTGAAACGTATCATCTCGCTGGCACTGGGTTGATGCCCGTCGCCCACGCTGAGAAACACCACCCAGGTATGCCACATAAACCCAATCCACGGCCATCTGTAAAGGAACAGCGCCATCCAGTCCACCGGGCCGTCCGCAGGGAACCTCCCGTTGCGATCCACCCACGGACCCGCGCCGAGTCCCCCCTCCCATCCCGCCAATTCTGGTATCTCGTCCTCATCCACCCCCAAAAGATCCCAGAGATCGACACCGAAGATATCGTGGTGCCACCGGACACCATCCTCATCCTCGTTCTCACCACCCGGTGCATCACCCCACCCTGCCTCTCTTGCTTCAAGTTGACCACCACCGCCACCCCTCCCCTCAGCGGCAATAGCCCCCAGGTCCCGACACGCGTTCACCTCCAGATATACCACCAGCAACCCCACGAAATACACAAACAGCATGTCGTGGTGCCGTTGGAACCCTTCACCGTGAAATCCAATCCATTTTGCGAGACCAGCTGCGCCGCCGCCGCCGCCATCGCCGCCGTCTGTGTCAGCGCTGCTGCCGCCGCTGCCAAGGTTGATATCGATGCCGTAGACTGCGAGGAGGGCCGCGAGGCGTGATTGTGGGATTTCTTGTTGATCGTTTCCATCATTGTTGATGTGTTTGGCGTCGGGGTCGGTTGATGACTCGGATGTGGGTTCCGTGGTCGCGGTGGTGGTGTCCAAATTGAGAGTCGGGCCGGGGGTGATGGTGGTGTTGTCGTGGGTGGTGTTGTCGTACGTGGTATTTGTGATATTAAAGTAGTGGTCGGGGGTGATGGTGAGATGGGCTGTTGGGGGTGTTGCAGGGCATGTCGGGAGGGGGAGGGGCGCGGCGGGAGGGGAGGTGTTGAGGTGAGTAAAAGCGGTGGGAGGAGGGTCAAGAAGGCGAGGGCGAAATAGACGCATGTCTTTTGGGTGTTCATGCTTGGTTTGGTGTCGCGGTGGGATCTTCAAGGTGAGGTGGGTTGGTTGGCTGTGCTGAAAGTTTGGATAGGATTTTAAGAGAGATCCCTTCACCTCGCTCATGGATTGAAGCATTCTGAGACGCCGTTTTGTGGTTCACTGGTGTTTTCATGCGGCAGGTGACTTCATCCGTGGTCTTGAGCCTAACAGGCATGCGAAGCGGGAGACCATGGCAACTGCAGGGACTTTGAGGTTCTGTTCGACACGTTTTGTAGCCGAGACTAACCCATCACGGTTCATTAGTTGCGTGACGAAGGTCACGAAACCTAACACTGATGCATATCGCTCCTACCACTTCATGGTACTTTCAGGAATAAGGAGTGAGGTAGACTGCAGCCCCCTTTCAAACCCTGTCGCTTGGTCCAATCTCCGCCTTGCAGCAAATAGCTCTTTGTTGACGTCAATTTTATTTACTTCACAAGATATATCCATACACCCGGCTTTTAATGTATGTGCTAGGGTTCTTTTGTGCCCTAGCTTGGGCTTGATGAGGAAACTGATTTGGGGCTTCGAAGGAAGTCTATCCTTTGGACGGTACTAGAGTTCTAGGGCTATTAGACTCAAATATGCCGCCATTAGCATCTCCTGACTCCAGACGTCATCGCGTGGACAGACGCGCCAGTTGAGACACCTGAATGCAAGCTGCACGACAGCTGCCTTGTCCGCAGTGGCTGGACTCGAGTTTGCATGCATCTACTTGAAAGCCCCAGGCCTGTACGACCACGCATCTGGATCATACGTAGGACCATTATCGTGGTTACATGTGATGGCTTTGATCTCGCTTTTAATGCCCGCTCATGCACGTGAGGGACGGGAGTGATGCCTCCAGGGTCCTCGACGAATCCTGTCCTCGATGTTTGTATTGAGGGCAATCCATCCTGAGCATCCACCACACAGCCAAGTCAACAACAGTGTCGAGAACGGATGATGCAGCGCACTTTTACACCTCCTACCGATTCAGGAGACATCAGAGTTAAGTGATCTGCTTGTCTCGATTTATAACCGGTTCTTGCTGTTGCCTCTTTTTTTTTTGCCTTACTCTCGCTGTTTGCTGCTATAATACAGTACCTAGGTGCCTACCAGGGAGGTAATAAACATGCTTGTTCTCTCGGTCAGGATTGCTCTCAGTACGTTGTCTTCCTCTTCATTAATATTCTCGACTCTTGTGGGCAATTATGTCGGACTTTGTATGCATCAAATCTTCTCCACAGTATTCGTTTAGGATTCCGATGATCATTGCTTCTAATCGCGGTGATGTGACGTTGAGCTTGACGGAACAAGCAACCACGGCGTGGAACATGATGTCACAGAACCACAACACATCATCAAACGACTCCGACCCAAACAACCAAAGGCAGTGAGTGCCTAAACAGCGGCAACCTTTCATCTCTCCTCATCCAACTTATTCCTAGAAGTAGCGGCTTTGAAACCACGTTCTGGACGACCACAGCTGAAACTAAACTGAGCGCGATCCCACAGCACTGCGATCCTGTGACCCCAAAATGGCATCTCGGCACATCTCCAGCCTCCTTCGGCCGGTCACTCACCAGGTCTCCCGCCTCAGCAAGCCCGGCACCATTCAGCCACTCTCAACAACAGCAAGCCAGCTCGCAAACGGCCCGAACCCAAAAATCATGCTCGAAGACGAGAGTGCCTTTGGCTTTATCCGCCACAATACCCGCCCGCCCAAACCGCGGAAGGTTGGCGTCACGGAAATCAGGGGGCCGTATTACTCGGCCATGGGCAAGCGGTACCTCAAAGACGTGCTTGAAACGTGAGTCCTGTTAGCCTGTTGACTCTCAACATCCCGTTTGCTCACCCTGTTTGACCTCAGAATGGGCCACCATGTCGACGGCCTCAAATTCGCAGGGGGTTCCTTCTCGCTCTTCCCCGAAGACAGGCTCCGTGAGCTGATCGACCTGGCGCACGAGTACGGCGTCTACGTCTCCACGGTAATCAGATCTCCCCTCTCACACCTTCTTGTCAAGAGATAGCATGAAACTGCTTACACAATTTGCTCCAGGGCGGCTGGATCGAGCACATCCTCACCCAATCCTCCCCCTCGACAGCCATCCCCCGCTACCTCACCCTCTGCAAAGCCCTCAACTTCGACGTCATCGAGATCTCGTCGGGCTTCCTCTCGCTCCCGCCCGACGACTGGCTCCGCCTGATCGACCTCGTCCACAGCCACAGCATGATCGCCAAGCCCGAGATCGGCATCCAGTTCGGCGCCGGCGGCGACACGTCGGCCGAGGAGCTGCAGGCGCTGAGCGGCGGGACGTCGGACCCGGGCAAGATCGTGAACCTGGGCAAGCGCTTCATCGAGGAGGGCGGCGTGGAGCGCATCATGGTGGAGAGCGAGGGGATCACGGAGAACGTCAAGACGTGGCGCACCGAGGTGGTGCAGGCTGTGCTGGCGGGGCTGCCAAAGGAGAAGGTCATGTTTGAGGCGGCGGATCCCAAGGTGTTTAACTGGTATGTGCGCGAGTTTGGGGCGGACGTGAACCTGTTTTGTGGACCACTCGCAGATTGTCCAGCTGAGCTGCTTGCGGGAGGGGATCTGGGGATGGGGGATACCTTTGGGAAGGTGGTGACGTTCCGGTGAACAGTCAAAGGGAAGAGAGGGTAATTATGGAAGGAAAAGAAGCCAAAAAGATGGGGAATCACTGTGTTCTCTCCCGCCGGGAATTGAACCCGGGTCTCGAGCGGTGTCTGGACTCTTGGGCAGGCGAGGAATCCGATGACAAGCTCACATACTGACCACTATACTACGGAAGATGGGTGGATGTGTGGCATCCACTGTAGCTGGTGTGATTCTCTCTCCCACCGGGAATTGAACCCGGGTCTCGAGCGTGACAAGCTCGCATACTGACCACTATACTATGGAAGAATTGCAAGTGTGGGCACTCGCTATAGGCTGGTTGTTGGAAGGGAGCAGGGAGAAGGGTCTTAAGTAGAAGCAAAGGGATATTTGAAAGAAAAGGATTTTTTGTGTCGGCTCCACAATGGTCTCGGTTTCGGTCATCTCGTTCCACACAGGGTCTGCTTGGAAAAGGGGTCCACTCTATTAGTCTTGAAAGGGAAGACATCACCTCCCCCTTTCCCATTCATCTTCTCGTCACACACTCTCATCCGTGGGAACTATCAACTTAACTTGAGACTGTTTTCTTTATGCGCTCATGGAAGCAAACCAATATCAGATTGGTAGATACCGACAGTACTCGAAGAGAACTATTCAAGTTATGAATACCGTAGGGAGCGGAACGCAACAGCGCCCCACCTTAACCTGAGAAACAGTTGAACGTCCCTAACTACGTCGTAAAATTGTAAGCGGAACATACTAACACAGTTGATGATCCCTCACTTCGAGCCCTAATTCCGCGGCTACTAGTTCCTCGTTTTTTCTGTTGCTCCATGATCACCGTCTGGGCAGCGGCTGTCACTTCGCTGTCTACAAAAGAGATTGAAGACCTCGGTACCCCTGCCGAAGTCGAACGCCGGATCCCGAAAGCTCGGGAAACATCGTCCAACACCCCGCCCAAGTTTCATTCTTGCCTATGACAAAATGATTAGTAACAACCAATTGCGCTGTTTGACCAAGTATACAAAATGTAGTGGAAGGACTACATTTTGGAGCTTCCGTTTGCAGTGCCACCCGTTTTAGAAGACTGACAACCGGCGTTTCTTGGTCAACACCCACTCATACTACAACTGTCGCTAAACCGCCATTTTGTCAACACACAATGGAGTCCTTCATCTACACGGCAAGCCCGGGCCGTGTCATCTTTGGCTCCGGGAGCCTCTCTAAGCTGCCAGAAGAGCTCGAGCGGGAGGGTCGCCAGGCAGCCTTGATCCTGTCAACAAGCTTTCAGGCCGGAGAAGCCGAGAAAGTTCGAGACCTGATCGGCTCAAGGGCCGTCGGCATTTTCACAGAAGCAGCAATGCACACGCCCGCCGACACCACCGAACGGGCGCTTGCCGTCGCGCAGAACCTGAAGGCTGACAGCATCGTGTCTGTCGGCGGCGGAAGCACCATCGGCCTAGGCAAAGCCATCAGCATCCGCACCGGCCTCCTCCACATCTGCATCCCCACCACCTACGCCGGCAGCGAGTGAACGCCCATCCTCGGCGAGACCGTCAACGGCCGCAAGACGACGAGGCGCGACCCCAAGATTTTCCCATCGATCGTCATCTACGACGTCAACCTCACCACAACCCTGCCCCAGAGCCACAGCGCAACAAGTGGCGTCAACGCCATCGCCCACGCCGTCGAGGCCCTCTATGCGCCTGACACCAACCCCATCATCAAGCTCCTCGCCAAGGAAGGCGTGCGTGCGCTGGCAGCGTCACTCCTCGTCATCGTCAAGGACGGCAGCGACCTCGAGGCGCGCAGCAAGGCCCTGTACGGCGCCTGGTTGTGCGGCCTGTGCCTGGGCAGCACGGCCATGTCGCTGCACCACAAGCTCTGCCACACCGTCGGCGGCTCGTTCGACCTCCCGCACGCCGAGACGCACACGATCCTGCTGCCGCACACCATCGCGTACAACAACCCGGCCGTGCCGGAGGCGATGAGGGATCTGGCTGAGGTGCTGCCCGAGTCGAATGGCGACGCCATCGAGGGCTTGAATGCGCTGTTGAATCAGCTTAGGGTCGAGAGGGCGTTGAAGACGTTTGGCATGAAGGAGGAGGACGTTGACAAGGCGGCGGCTATTGCCATGGAGAATCGGTATTCCAATCCGAGGGAGGTTGACCAGGAAAAGCTACGGGAGCTGATTCGGAGGGCTTGGGCTGGGGAACCTGCAAAGACCGACCTGTAACCTTGAGCTAGACAGGTGCCAGTCATAAGATGGTAAATCAAGGGCTATTGACTGAAGATTGCTCGAGCGCTTCTCTCACAGTCTCAGACACTAGATAATTGGCGCGGCATTGAGATCAAACAAAACTTCAACCCAAGACTAGAACAGTTGAGAACCAATCTCACGTTAATCATAGAGAAGATGGAGCGAGCCGAGGCCTGGAAATTGGAATGCGAAGTTCAGAAAGAAGTCAACAAAGACTGAGTCAGGAATAACCCCTGCTCTCCAAGAAGTTTTGGTTCCCTCAAGTGGGTTGACTTTGCTGCGCTCCAAGCCTCCCTCTATTGGCCGCTCGTCGACAGCCTATGTCCTTAGTTTAAGGTAAGGTACCACCAGGTTGGCAGGAAGATAGACGTAGGCAGCCGACTACGGCACCGCCGTTGGACATATACGTTCATGGTGTAGTCTTCTCCCTCTTTTCTTTCACTTTTCCTTTCTTCTAGGAGGGAGGAACCGCAGCGTGAAATCTGCAAAATGGGCAAAGGGCTACCACACCCGCTCATTGCATCTGACTGAGCGCTGCGGGCAACCAATCATCTCCCCCCTGTTCCCCCGCAGGTTATGCATCCGAAAAGAGTCTGCCTGTGGGCATTCCCACGCTGAGCCAGGCACACTCGGAGCCCTCCGTTCTGCACAGCCCCGTGGCTGCATCCAGGGCTTGAGGCTGTGGTGCGCTCCCCGCAATTTTCGAGTTGAGGAAGAGTGGTGGCCTTCTTCACCAGACGGCGTTCCATGCACGTTTTCTTTTGCATCTCTTCTTTTTCTTGAATATCCCATACGTTTCACAATCTCACTGCGCAATGGCAGAAGCCCTAGCCTTCGGGGCCAGTGTCGTGGCCTTTGTTCAACTGACCGACCGTGTCGTCCAACTTTCCAAGCGCCTTATCGACGCCACGAAGGACGCGCCCACGGCTTTGCTAAGGTTGCATGCCGAGGCCTCGTCCATGAAAGACATCGTCAACGAGTTGCAGAGACTCCATGATGCCTCCGATCCCGTCAACTGCTCGGCCATTGAGAAGGCGACCAGGCAGCCCATTGACAGCTGCCATGTGTCAGTGCAAATGTTGGAACAGGAACTGTCCAAGCTATCCATTTCATCGCCCCATACGCAAACGGGCTCTCACAAACGACAGAAGATCAAGCAGTCCCTGAAATGGGCTGCTGGCGGAGAGGAAAGAGTCAAGAAACTCGTGGCCGACATGATTACCCAGAAGGCTACCTTATCGCTGGCTTTGGTGACGACATTTCGTGAGTGCTAACTTGAACTGATAAGCGTGTGGTATGCGCTGAATCTTGACTGACGATCGTTAGACAAGACGTCAAAGATGTCAAGCTCACGGTTGGCAAGGTTGAGAACCATCTGACTGGTCAGTAGGGCCCCTAAATCCCCTCTCTCGCTGCGAAACGTTTCTGCTGATGCCGGGTCTAGTCTCCGAACGCCAGGAAATAGTCAATTGGCTGGAGCATACGAATCCGTCGGAAGTCCACAACCGCTCAAGGCACCTCTACGAAGAGCACACGGGCAACTGGGTGCTGCGGAGCTCCGCCTGGGTCGATTTCGTCCACGGCGGCCATCGAACACTCTGGATTCACGGTATCCCGGGTGCCGGCAAGACCATCCTGTTCTCACATCTTGTCCAAACACTACATCAGTATCGCAAGAACCGCAGGGTCGGTTGGGCTTACTACTACTGTTACTTCGGTCGAAACCAAGATGAGACCGGGCCGTTGTTGCGGTGGATTACTGCTCAGCTCTGTAACCAGGCGGCGCACATACCCAACGAGCTCGCAGAGGCTTACCGGGAACGACAGGAGCCCGACACAGACAGCCTTCTGTCCATCCTCGCTGCGGTACTTCAACCGTTGGATGCCGCCTACGTCGCGATAGATGCCATCGACGAGAGTATGCCCTACACAAACCTCCTGACCGCGCTGACGGCGCTCATGACGGAATCCCGGTTCAGCAAGCTGCGTCTCTTGGTGACCAGTCGGCAATATCTCGATATTGAGCAGTGCATCAAGCCTTGCGCCGTCCCGCTCCCGATGTCGAATAACCTCGTCGCGGAGGACCTTCGGATATATGTCGCCTCGAAGTTGAGAAGCAATCCAAAGTTTGCTGCCTGGCCGGCAGCTCTGATTAAAGAAGTCGAGGATGCGCTGGTGATGGGGGCCAAGGGGATGTAAGTTTTCAGCAGGTGTCGATCCATCGCGTGCTATGGTTAATCATCCATGATGTAGGTTCCGATGGGCGGTCTGCCAAATCGACATCCTGGGTAGGCTCAAAACTCAATCAGCCGTCCGCAAGGCCTTGGCCGAGCTACCGGAGACCCTGGATGAGACGTATGAGAGGATTTTGCTTGCCATCCCACACGAACACCGCGAGTTTGCCCGAGAGATTCTGGCTATCCTGGCGGCCCAAAGCGAGCTCGGACACCACCAAATGACGGCACAAGTGGTTCTAAACATGGTTGTCCGTTCCCTGGCCTTACCTGACGACAATTTCCACAATGTCTTTGACATCCGCGAGACGTGCGGTTGTCTCGTCACTTTCGTACCAGATGCTGTGCGTGTAGACGACCCAGAGTCTGGGGCAGTCGTTCACTATAAGAAAGTGGACCTGGTCATTTTGGCACATTACACAGTCAAGGAATTCTTGTACGCCGAGCGGACTGCAGTCAATTCCAAGAGCCAGATATCTCGTTTTGCGCTCCGCGAGCATATCATCAGCCGGGAGTGGGCAGACCTGGTCTTGCACACAGCGCTGTCGGCTCGGGCTTCTGATAGTCCCATCAGCGAGGACTTGATTGAGGACTACTGTCTCGCGACAGGACACAATCTCATCAGAGACTGGGAAGAGATGTTGGTCAACAACGGCCTGACCGATGCCTGCTTAGACTTCGTCAACCCCGCCGCGCCCCATCA